CGTAGCATGGCTGCCCCAACATGGCGTGGTAGGACCATGGGAAGTCCACCACCTCGAAGGTCAGGACCTCCGAGCATAAGTTGGCTCGGTCGCCAAATGTGACGGGCAGATCGATCTGCCCAAGTGGGTATGCCCGTGTCCCTGGGATTATGCCGTGGAAGGGAGAGCTCACTGGGTAGAGCTCCAATCGGGGGATGTGTATGGCGTCGAGGGTGACGACGTAGAGAATGTTGAGGCCGCGACATCATCGTGCCAGGCATGGCGTCGGTTGTTGATGATGCTGTGAGCATCATGGTTCGGCCCGAGCCGTTCGCACATAGGTCATCGGTGTGGAGCGGGCACCGGGTCGGGCTATGGTGTAGTCGTGGCTTCTTGCCCCACGCCCGACAACTGTAGTGGCAAGTGGATGGAGCGAGTCGACTGGTGCAGCCCTAGTCCCGCGGTGGGGCAAGAGGCCGTGAGCCAGTGTTGCGACACGGAGCTCTCCGCCTGTTGAAAGGCAGTGGTCTCCACCAGCGCCCGAATGTTCTGGTGGATTGCCCGTTCCTGGGGGTCAGCATGCTCGGGGAGGCCGCAAAGAAGCATCACCGCAGCAGCGATGTTCTGGCTAGCCTGAGCAAATTTAGGGGGATCGTTCCCTTCATCCAGGATGTTACGCTGGACCTGACGGGCGTGGTCCCGAGCGTCGCTCACCGAGTGACGCGCATGTGGTGCAGCATGCTGGGCCAAGCCTACCAATGCAGGTGGCAGCTGACTCTGCCACCATTGTCGTAACTCCTCGCCGTGCTCCTATGCACGCGCGAGGGCCTTTGCACGAGGGTCCAAAGGGGTGTGAGTTTGCAGAGACTTTGCTACCACAGGTGGCTATCTTGGGGCGTCCGCCATAATGCACTCCTAGGATAGATTGTGGCTAGGTGCCACAATGTCGTCGATGCTGGAGCCGTCGCTTTTGACCTCGTCATCGATGAGGTCGTGAAAGGAGGCGGGAGCGTAGCCCGCCGTCCCCATGAACTCGGATGTGAGAAGGGGCGGCATCAGCATCCTTTGGATCCCCCCGCGCACGCATCCTCGGGGGACACGAAACCGTAGGGGAACCGGTTGCACGACGGTCGTGGTGGGGACAACAGGGTCCCCCCCAGAGAGTTGGCAGAAGGTATTAAATAGTGAGTAAAGAACAAAATGTACATCACTCACCGTAGGGTTTGAGCCTAGCATGGGCTCGAGACGAAGCGCGAGTGTCTCGACGTTGGGGTCGTTGAGTGGCTTGAGGCTGGTGGAGAGCACTCCTCCTCCAGTGGACGCCGGGACGAGCGCCTCCTCGTGGAGGTGCAGTATGCTGAGCTGGTCGGCAATGAAGTCCAGACTCCCGAAGAGGAAAGTCTGGAGCGGTTAGAAGACGGGAGGAACCCACATCCCAATAGGTGGGAGCACAGGAAACTCTAGCGAGCTAAAGCGAAACATATCGCTCGAGCCCACCATGATGAAGATGGTGGAAAGGTGGGCCATCCGATGACCAAAAGAGTGAACGCATCGCATGCTCCCCACGGATGGCGCCAACTGTCGGTGTAAAAAGTGACCAATAAGTAAATATTTATAGTTTTGATGTGCGTTGTGATCGGATGTGGCCAAGCACTCAATGACGCAGGATTTATACTGGTTCAGGCAACACGTCCTACGTCTAGTTTCAGTCGGTCGGTGACTTTATTCCTGAGCCCAGGTGCTCGAAGTTTGCTGTGGGGTTACAAACGAGTAGGAATAAGAAGGGGGGTGTTAAAGACCCTGTCAGACTCTGAACCAAATGGCTGAGAGTGACGGGTACTCTAACGTGTGCTAAGTATTGGAGCGTATGCTCTGTGTAGCTGTCGAGGAAGAGCCGTGAGCAGAGGTCCAACGTATCCCCGGTCAAAAAAGGAGGTTGAAGTCGGACTGTGGTCCCACTTTGGCTAGGCCTTCCGGTCGGGGACCGGATCGTTGTCCTGGCATGTCATTATGTATCTGGGCCAGCCCGGGAGGCGAGCGTTGTCGCTATGTCGTCTACTAGGTTGAGTTTTTGTATGGAAGCGGGTCCATTGGGTCCCCGGGTTTATGAACCCGACATTATGCTTCTTGTCAGTGCAGAAAGTGACCAACAAGTAAATATTTGTAGTTTTGCCGTACGTTGTGATCGGAGGTGGCCTAGCACTCAATGACAAAGGATTTATACTGGTTCAGGCAACGTGCCCTATGTCCAGTTTGAGTCGGTCGGTGACTTTATTCCTAAGCCTAGGTGCTCGAAGTTTGCAGTGGGGTTACAAATGAGAAGGAGAGAGATGGGGGTACAAGAGGTCCGATCGGACTCTGGTTAGAGGGACCGAAAGCGACGGGAGCTCCACTATGTGCTAAGTGTTCGAGCGTGTGCTCGTGGTTTGAATCTGGTGGTTCTGCTGTTGTGTACTAGTGAACTTGATCGATCTGAATCAACCTTGACCCTGTTGGGAGAGAGCGCATCCCCTTTTATAGATGAAGGGAATGGCCTTGCAAGTGAGAGGGAGAGAGTACGTATGCTACTAAGCCTTGTTGCCCACGTCGGCGGGTACAGGACGATGGTAGACGCCCACAATACTGTTGAATGTCAGATGCACGTGGGAGGTTGTGTTGTCTTCTTCGGATATGACAGACGTCGGCGCCTGCCACACTGTTGATACCTGGAGACATGCAAGGGGTTTTACCATGTTCGTCTGGTACGGTTAATGCTGGCGCCCACAACACTGTTGATGCCCAGAGGCATGTGGGGGAAGCCTTACCATATGGGAGTTAATGGCGCCCATAATACTATGGGGGAAAATGTCAGCGCCTACAACACTGCTTGGGTTCTGTCGTGCTAGGAGGGTCGCAGGGTATTGCCTGGCAGGTGCGCAGGGTAGGGTTCTTAGTATTACGGTTTGACTTGTGCGCCCTGCCTTACTTTCTCCGTCCGTTCCCTGGTCCTTACCGAGCGGGCGTCCCCGGTCCGTTAGTCCTAGTCGACTCTGAATGCGCCAGTTGGAGAATATCAGTGATCAAGGGTTTGGTGCATCCCCAGTTGGAGACGCGGGTCGGAGTCGAAAGTAGTGCTTTGGCCAGGCCTTCCGGTCGGAGAGACCATCCGAAGGCGGGCTGGAGACCGAAGCGAGTGCTCCGGTCGGAGAGGTGGGCCGGAGTCGGAGAAACGGGCGCCGTTCCTCCTCGGCCAGACCTTCTGGTCGGTGATTGGATCGCCCTTCTAGCCTGTCGTTTAGGTAATTGGGCCGGCCCATGAGTTGCGTGTTTGTTTGTAACGGTGCCTACTGGGCCGAGGCTTTGTTGGGAAGCCGGTCACTGAGGGACCCTGAGTTTATGAACCCGACACTTCTACTCCTTTAAAAGTATAAATTAACAACTTTGAAAGTTAAGGCGCATGGTGTTCAGTTGCTAAAGAACGATCTCCCAAGGTATGCTTCTACTCCTTTAAATCCATGTGTTGTGATTCTCCTAGCCAAAATGACCCAGAATCAATTTTGTAAAGCTCTGTAGCGTGGTGATTGCAGCCTTGTTCGTTTCGTTGAAAAGGCAAGCTGAAAAGTACTGTTCACTGATTTGTTGCTAGAGAAAAACACTGTAACATGTCTGATAAGACTGGCTGATAAGTTCAAGCGAACAGGGCAATGCCAGTGGCCTCACTCAGACACCAAAACCTTCTGACACCTTGCCAAGGATAAGAGTATCTCCAAGCATGCTTTCTATATTTAAAATTATAAGACATTTTGATTTTTCTAGGTATATTAATTTTGTTATACACTTAGTTATAAATTATGTCAGATACGTAAGCGGCTATGGCAAAACATACGTCACCAAAAGGAAATTGCGTACTGCAGCGCCAAAGGCCATCACACTTTCAAATGGAAAATGTCCCCTCTAGGATGTACTATCTCGGTATCTCCGTCCAAAAGAAAAAGGACTTATACAAAATATTATCAATACGAGTATCTTTAAAGATTTCATATAAAAATATATTTCATGATTGACCTAACAACATTTATTACATATTATAAATATTAGTATATTTTATATATATTTAATCAAACTTTATATTTAGTGATTTATCAAAGAACAAGAATAAGGGGTTGTTTGTTCCTACGGGAACTCCTACAATTTCTGTCACATCGAGTGTTTGACACATGCATAGAGTATTAAATATAGACTAATTACGAAACTAATTGCACAACTTGCGACTAATTTACGAGACAAATCTTTTAAGCCTAATTAGTCTATGATTTGACAACGTGGGTCTACAGTAAACATATGCTAATGATAGATTAATTAGGCTTAAAAAATTCGTCTCGGAAATTAGCCTCTATCTATGTAATTGGTTTTGTAATTCATCTATATTTAATGCTTCTTATTAATATCTAAATATTTGATGTGATATGAATTTTAGGAGCGACTAGAGAACCAACCCCTTATATTTTTTAAACGAAGTAAGTATCCGTGCAAATATGTTAATTAAATAAGAAAGGATAAAGCGCCCAAAAAAAAGAAGATCACACCCTCAGTGTTGTGAGTATGTGACTGGTCGCCATTCCCAACAGACATGGGTGTGCGTGTCATTCGGCGCAGACCGGCTTGACCCACCGTGGCTGCTGCTACTGGCTAGTGCTAGTCGCCAGTCTCCGGCGACGACCTGACCCGTCACCGTCGTCTCTGCACCGCTATTTAGTAATTAGTGTTCAATTATAATTTAATTAGACTTAAAAGATTCGTCTCGTAAATTTCATCTAAACTGTATAATTAATTTTATTTTTTATTTATATTTAATGTTTCATACATTTGTTAAAGATTTGATGTGACGAAGAATCTTGAAAAATTTTGTAAAATTTTAGAAACTAAACCGGCACTAAGCTACCAACAAATACCTCTCGCACGGCTACGGGCCAAGCCATAGCTGTGCCAAGAACAGGTTCGGAGTGTGCGCGTGCACGCGCTGACGCGCTCGAGCGGCGGCCATGGCGAGGACTCTGCTCCAGCCCAATAGGGCCGATCAGGCAACCGCGTCCTCCCACTCCCACACCGGCGCGGCGGCGACCTCCCTCCTCCTCCTCCTACTTGTCGTCGCCGCCGCCGCGGTCGTCGTGTCTCTCTGCACCAGCGGCAAGAACGCCAGGCCACGGAAGCAGCGCCGGTCGTCCTCCCTGGCGCCGGCGCCGCAGCAGGAGTTGGAGCAGGAGCAGGACGGCGGCGGCGCCAGCAGGAACAAGCAGCTGCTCGCCAGCCTCAGCGGCATCGGCGTCAAGGCGGCCGCGGTGGCCAAGATGGTCTCGTGGAACCGCCGCTCGCCGCCGGCGAGTGGCTGGAGCAGCGACGACGACGACGTGGCCGCCGACGGCGACGGCGCCGCGGAGGAGGAGGCGCTGTGGAAGAAGACCATCATCTTGGGCGACAAGTGCCGCCCGCTCGAGTTCTCCGGCGACATCGCTCACGATTCCGACGGCAACCCGATGCAGTTTCAACCGTCGGCGATCAACAAGGATGCCACCGACGATGCGGCGGCCGAGGGTTAGTGAGCGAGGGTGCATACGTGCAGTTGATGCACTTTGATTTGCATGGTGTGTTAGGGATTGGAGCGTCAACTCGTACGTTCTATGTAGTAGTACTAGCTAGCCTGGCCGTGTGTCCACGGATTTTGGGTAGCTGATGAAGGCGTTCACTAGTCTACACCTCGATCGTTAATCAAAGCGGGTCGCTTTTTTTTTTCAGAAATCGGCAAGCAAATTGCAGTGCTGTATATATTATCTAATCTCGTATAAGTATAATGCTTTCGGTTGAAAGAACTATGTATCTGTCCTTCCAAAATGAAGTCCAGGTGGGGATTCTCTCTCCCCGTAGATTTTTTTTCCAATATAAAAAGAAAAAATAGATTACAAACACCAACAAAAAAAAAATCACAAAAAAGCCAAAAAAACGAAAAGACAATAGTATTGCCGGGTCTAAATCTGGCATCACTGCTAGAATTGGGTCTGGCAGAGTGCAACTGACAATGATGGGTCTACCTGTGTCACTGAACAACACAATCAGTCATCAATCGCAATTCACAAATACCAAATAGCATATAGTCTTCCATTATTTTGGGTAAAATGTTAAGTCGGGTAACCGAGGCCTAATACATGAATTACCGAAGTAAAATTGATAGGGTAACTCGGGGTCGATCTCGAGTCTGATTAGCTGGAGTTTTGGTATTGTGTTTTATGCCCACCCCTAGCGTCGAGTGTCTTGAGGAGCAAGAGCAACATTACAACGATACAAGAATTTGTGAGCATCTTCTCGAGTCTCATGAACTTCGAGAAAAGTTAGGGTTGAGATTGGAAGGATTAGGCTTCCAAGCAAAGGCTCACTTAACTTACATGGATTTATAGGAAGCCCACGGTGTTAGGCCAGTCCAACGAATGAATCAGTGATTGGGGTCAACCAGGGAATGAGTGTGAGAATGATGATGGCGATGGCCTCTTATGTGCTTCTATTTGAGGTGCTTGGAGAAGGGGATTGAACTACAAAATATTTGGTTCAGAGCATTGCATTGTCCAAGGGAGTAAGGTGAGTAAGCAGCGCCCCAAAAGCCATTATATTTGTGCCTTTAGGGCTTAGGCACAAGCCATTTTCTCGCTCATACTGTGCAAGCATTTTGTCTCACGATTTTGGTGTCCTTATGCTTCTCTAGTGTCAACTAAGTTAGCGACACTTTTACATATGCTTGCACCTATTAATAAGTTGCTCATATTTCGACATTTTGCGCATCTATTTTTGCCTCAGGGAGTGGTGAGATGTTAGGACAATGATGGCAGGAGACAAAGCCATCGTTATGAAGTTTGATGAAACCTTGCCTCCAATGTGTGTGGGTGTTTGCTAGTGGGGCGGGACAAGGATCACACGACATAATAAAGAAGACGATTAGAGGTTGAAGAAGACATATGGCATGTTGTTGGTGCACACAATCCGGACAACAAAAGATGTGCACAAGTTTGAGGAAAGAAAATAAGAGTTGGCTAGATTTTCAAGGAAAAACCAAGCTGAAAATCATATAACTAGGGGGGTGTGTCACATTTCTAGCAAGTTTGGTATAACGACTATTGGAACTGATAACTCAATTTCTCTACCTGATCAGGCATGCATGCCACACTAAACTCGGTTGAAAACATGACCCAACTAAACAATTCAATAACATAACCACTTACTCTATCTGGACTATATCACAAAACCCAGTTGACTCAACTATCAACTTGCACCACACCTCGCTCTATAATCAACACATCCTTAGATAGTTAGATGTAAAATGACTAAAACATGCATGATTTGACACTATGGCTGTTATTACCAAGTAAGCTAATTAAACTCTAAAAGTCACAGTTCTTGCAAGACCCAAGGTAATATATAGATGCAAGCGTGGAACTACATATAGACAACATGCATCGAACATATACCAACATAGTATCTATACGGTGTTGTCGGTGTTTCGAGTAAACACCAACTAGTAAATTTGTATTTGTTACGCGTTGGGCCCGAATGGTGTGCTAAAAGACACAAGGTTTATACTGGTTCGGGCAGAATGTCCCTACGTCCAGTTTGCTGCTGCTGCTCGTGTTATTAGCACTGAAAGGTTCGTAGTAGGGGGTACAAACGGTCGAGAGAGGGACATGTCCCAAGTCTCTGATGGAAAGGTCGAACAGGTGCTGAGAGCTCGGTTGCTGCTCAGCTGTGTGTTATGTGATGCGTGGTGTGTAGAAATTGATCTGTCCCCTTAGTGGGGTGCCCTGCCCTCCCTTTTATAGATCAAGGGAGAGCAGGGATTACAGACGGGAGAAAGAAGAAAAACCAGAGGCAGAGAAGGTCCTTCGAAGGTGCCAGGTCTTCCTTTTCCTTTGAGCCCGCCCTACTGACACGGCAGACGGTGCTAGGGATAGCACGTTCGCTGATCCTGATAGGGCCGTGTTCTGGCTTCGTTTAGCAAGTGGTCACGTTCCATCCCACTCCGGCAGGCGTCGCGGCGTGCTAGGGTGCCGAGCCGCTACCCCACGGGGAGTAGATGGCGTAGAGGCCCCCACGTTCGTTACTGTAAATGACATGAGTTTCTTCTTGGACCGTAGCGGTTGTTGTATGTTTCTGTTAGGATTCGTGTCCGAGGGCAAATGCCGGCGCCCATAACACTGTAGGACAAATGTCGGCGCCCACAACACTATTTGGGCTCTGACATGCCTGGAAGGGCTTAAAGTGCCCGTCTGGTCATATCCTGATGGTACTTTCCTGCAGGTGTGCAGGGTATGGTCCTCGGTATTGCGGTTGACTTGAGTGTCCTGCCTTATCTGCGCGCGTAGTTACGAAGCAGCAGCGCATAGACATCGGGCGAGGCGGAGCCTGCCCTCTGTCGTCGGGGCAAGGCGGAGTCTGCCCCTAGACGTCGGGCGAGGCGGAGCGTGCCCCCGGACGTCGAGCGAGGCTGAGCCAGCCCTTAGTCATCGGGCGAGGTGGAGCCAGCCCTCAGTCATCGGGCGAGGCGGACTCCAGCCCTCGGGGGTCAGGCAAGGCGGAGCCAACCTTCGGTCGTTTGGGCAAGAAGTGTAGTTGAGTTCTTGTCTATTCAGAAGCATCAACGTTTGATGGTTATTAGCTCCTCTTTGGGTACCCCGGTATTCGGTCCCCAATAGTAGCCTTCGAGCCCCCGGGTGATTCAGATAGAATCGCCCGAGGGTGTTTTTGACTTGTCAGAGGGTGCGCACGAGCGCACCCGACGGGTGTAGCCCCGAGCCCCCAGGTGATTCGGATAGAATCGCCCGAGGGGTATTTCATTTTGCCAGAGGGTGCGCGCGAGCGCACCCGTTAGGTGTAGCCCCCGAGCCCCCGGGTGATTCAGATAGAATCGCCCCGGGGGTAATTCGGACCCTTCGTGGGTATGGCTGTGAGATTTGGTGTTTTAAAAACTGGATAGTTCGATTGGAGTCCTGGTATCCCATTCGTGGGGATCCGGTAAGAGTCAGCCTGGCTGAGACTCAATCGTGGGTCGAGATACTTGTGGCACTCGTGTGCCTAGGTTTTGGTCGATCGCGGGCCTATCCTTCGTCGTAAGGCTGCCTTGGGACGATCGTCGAAACCGTTGATGGGTCAGTGAAAGCTCTAGTTTGGTTTTGGTGAATTGATGAAACCCTAAGTGCTAACCTAGTTTATCAAGTGATCATGAGATAGGTAGCACACTCCAAGTGGTGAAGCAAATGAAGATCATAGCATGATAAAGATGATGGCATGGTGATGATCAAGTGCTTCGACTTGGAAAGAAGAAAGAGAAAAACAAAAAGCTCAATGCAAAGGTATAATTTGTAAGAGCTATTTTGCTTTGGTGATCAAGACACGTAGAGAGTGTGATCACATTTAGGATTGACAGCCATACTATTAAGAGGGGTGAAACTCGTATCGAAATGCGGTTATCAAAGTGCCACTAGATGCTCTAACTCATTGCATATGCATTTAGGATCTAGTGGAGTGCTAAACCCCTTGAAAATGTTTTTGAAAATATGCTAACACTTGTGCACAAGGTGATACACTTGGTGGTGTTGGCACATTTACAAAGGAGGTGGTGTTTGCAGGGTTGAGAAGGATTCGGCGCTTTCGGGAAAATGGAATGCCTATTTTCTATTGCGCCGGATGCAAATTCTTGTGGTTGGCACATTGGAGCAAGGGTGGAGAAGATAGAAGTAAGAACAGAGCTGATGCCAGCGTCGGTCCAGTGATCGGACCCTGAATCCAGAAGCACCAGACGCTAACTGCCTGCGTCCGGTCACGTTGACTGTCGGTACAGTGGCTAGGGTTTACCACCGGACGCTGGGCTGTGTCCGGTCGAGGTGGACCGGACACGTCCAGTTAAGGAAAACTAGGTTTTGACCCTTACTGTACTCGACCGGACGCTGAGGTTCCAGCGTCCGGTCAGTTTTAACCGGAGTGTCCGGTCAGCGTCATAGCCGTTGGAATCTGACGAACAGCGTTTGAAGCCGATGACACGTGGCGTCCATCTGTGGACCGGACGCTGAGTCCAGGGTCCGGTCAAGTGGACCGGAGTGTCCGGTCAGAGCGCAGAGTACCCAGTGAAGGGGTACAATGGCTCTATTTCATAGGGGCTTCTATTTAAGCCCCATGGCCGGCTGTGGCTCATATCTTTGGCCATTTTCATTGACATAGCAACCTTGTGAGCCTAGCCAAAGCCCTCCCACTCATTTCCATCATAGATTAAACATCTTTGTGAGATTGGGAGAGAATCCAAGTGCATTGCTTGAGTGGTTGCATCTAGAGGCACTTGGTGTTCGTGTTTCGCTGCGGATTTCGCTTGTTACTCTTGGTGGTTGCCGCCACCTAGACGGTTTGGAGCAGCAAGGATCGTTGAGTGGAGGAGGTGATTGTCTCCGACTCCGATCGTGGTGATTGTGATGGGTTCTTGACCTTTCCCCGGCGGAGCGCCAAAAGGTACTCTAGTAAATTGCTTGTGGCTTGTGTGATCCTCATCTTGTGTTGGTTGTGCGGCACC